AACGGTATCGTTTTGTAGTGTGTTCTACATGAGACCTCTGGATTCTTCATGACGATATGATAAAACATCTTGTGATAAGAGGACAATGAGGATTGTGGAGGGTTGTTGAAGGAGATAGGTGGCGAAAGGAATGACGACGAGCAGCATGCAGTATCTTACCGTTCAAGCTGGCCTTCGTATTCATGGTTTGTGGGTTGAGACACACAGCCTTCATCGCCAAGGGTCGCATGTAGTATTAGAATCCTATCCATGGGGAGAGGAACGTTCCTTCACGGTTTTCTCCTTACCCTCCCTCCCCCGATTTCTCTAGTTCATGCCTCAAATGTCTAATCGTGGTTGCATGTAAAATCCCTGTTTGATCATCTGTATAAGTTTTTGAATTTGATCCTCGTAACCATTTTCTGGATCACTCCTTATCCTTGATTTTGAAAATCATAATTTAATTCCAATACGTCGAAAATTTATGCTCTGATTTTCTACCCCTGATATGAATCACATATCAACCATAAATTCGAGTGTGTTTTTCTAATTACATCTTGTAACTAAATCCATCACCCTAACTGGATTATTCCACGATTCTCAAACCGTGGTTTGAAGATCAGATTTGAAAATCCCTTTGGATACCCAAATCTAAAAGTCATATCATATGTTTAACTCTTAATTTGAAAATTGTTTTCCTATTTTGAAAATAGAAATACTTCGTATTCTGTTTTTTTCTATGGTTTGGGCATCCGATTCGAAAATCCCTTTGGATACCCAAATCTAAAAGTCATCGCACGTGTCTAACTCTTAATTTGGAAATTGTTTCCCTGTTTTGAAAATTGAAATACTTCGTATTTTGTTTTTTTTATTCTTAAGTCTCTTGATACTGATACCCATAAATCAGACTTCGTATTCTAATCTCTAGAACTTGATTCTCAATAGTGACTCAAACTCAGTTTTAAATCCGGATTGCATTAAGTTGTTGTTGTTGTTTTTTAACCACAAAAACAAGCTCCATCTATTGGTGGGGAGCAACACCTGCTGGAAACCAGGTCCAGTGTCTCATGTGGATTGCACGAAGTTTACCTCCCCTCATGAGTTAGTTTTGGTTTGGGGCAGGCAGGTGAAGGTTCTGATCAGTATCTGAGGGTAGGGCTGGCAAGTTTCAGATGGTGGACACTTTCGTTTTTCTTCTGCGAACTATGTGGTGGAGGAGGTCAGCTTGTCGCAAGAGGAAGTCGAGGGTTGTCTGCTTTCACTTTTCTTCATCTCGCGAACTATGGGTGGAGGAGGTTGGTTTGTCGCGGGATGCAGTTGAATAAGGGGGTCTAGGAAGATTGGGGATCAGTTGTCTTTTACCTGTCTATGGAACAGGCGTGGGACTGAAGTGGAGGGGGGAAGCCTTTTTTTTATTGGTAACATTGTGTCCTACTGGTGAGGAGGGCTAGCTGGCGGGATTGGATTAGGGCACAACTGCAGTTGAGATGGTGGCTTAGTTGTTATAAGTCTGCGTCGAAAGCTAGTAAGGGGATGGGAGGTTAGGGTGCTGCGCCTGTTTTGTGATGGAGTGAACAACTTTTTCCTCCTCCTTCGAACTATGTGGTGGAGGAGGTCGGTCTGTCGTAGGAAGAGGAAGAATTGAAGTTTGTTTTTTATCGCTATGGGATTTTGGTGAGGTTGTTGGTCTATTGTTCTTCTCTTCCGAACTATGTGGTGGAGGAGGTCAAATGAAGAAGAGTAGGGGGTGAACGGAAATGGGAGAAGGACTGACTGTTTTCTTTTCGCCAAAGCCGGGTAATGGCCCCGGAATCTCAAACCTTCAAAATTCTATTCAGTTGCTTCTCGTTGTTATATTCATAGGTCTGCGGTCAGAACGACGCTGGTTGGTGCTGGAAAAAGATGGCGGGATATCAAGCGTCCTACCAGTGAGGGGGTTAGTTGGTAGGATGGAAATAGGGTACAACAGCCAGAAATGAAGGATCAGGGTAAGTGGGACTTGGGCCCGACACTCCCATCATGGACCCCATAAACTACCCTGTCAAACCTAGTCCTAGGGGAGGGTACTACAATTACAACTACCCAGCAAAAAAAAAAAATTAAAAAAAAAAAAAAAAAAAAAAACCCGCAACTACAACTACTTCAAACTGAAAGTTATCTCTCCCTCTCTCCCCTTCTCACTCCCTTTCCCCCTCTCTTCTCACTCTCCCTCTAACTTGGACGGAAGGGGAAAGCCACAGAGTGCTCCGGGATGTGGGGATATCGAGCGTGAACGACTTTGAACGACTTTGAATAAGGTTATCATCTCCCCACCCTAGCTTCTATTATAACGGCTCCTCTTACCCACCCCTTACCGATGGGAGGCGTTTTTGGATTCGCTGCCCCACGTCCCACGTCCTCGGATCTGACCCCCCTCCTCCACATGTCCCTTCCTCCTTCCCCCCTTGTGGTTTATGGTTGAGGAAGTAAGACTTACAAACCCAAGGCATAAAGCCTAAGCTACCCACTTGTGAAAGGAGAGTAGGGGGGTGAAAAACCCAACGAGTACCCAACGGAAGAGAAGGTAGAGCAATGGAGCGACCCAAGGCTTGGAGAGGGAGAGAGGAAGTGGCTTACCAGATTACTTCCCCCTACGGCACTTAGTGAGGTAAAAGGGGAAGAGTGCGATTTGACTCCTCTCGTTCCGGTTCACCCGTTCCTCTCAAAATCAGGTATGGGGTTTAATGTCACAAGGTGGTAGGTTCTGTTTGCTGCCCCACACTATCCCTTCCTTTCTCTCTCCTTTGGCGTCCCTCCGCTGAGGTTCTTTCCTCCGTCTAGTTCTCTCCGAAGTTCGGCGCTGGTTTCCAAGTGTTGAAAAATTTCATGATGACTCGCGGGCTGACGATCGGAATTTCCAAAAGCTCAAAGTCCTTCTCTTGCTTCTGAGAATCTTCAATTTATGTCCGGCCCTTGCCCCCCCCTCGAGGATCTTCTTCCCACCTGGCACCCCGATGCCCTCGCCGAACCTTGCCGGCGGATGAATCGTGCATTCTGCAATCTACCCGAAGGGGAACCCTTGCCCTCCATCTTGCAAGTAGTAGTTGGTGATGCCCTGGGATGACACTCATCAGGCGAAAGGGGGTACATGGTTGGCTCCCCGGTTACCATCCGTGTTGCTTTGTTTGTATTAAGGTTATCGGGCATGCTATCCCAGATGTAAATTTTGGATCGAGTCATTACCTACCTTCCAAGACACACTACGAGAGATCCACGCGGCCCTCAGTGGGGGAAAGCGGTTGGTTTGCGGATGCGATGACGTAATGCTTTCTGGGTCAGTATAGTTATTGCCTTGCCTAGCTTTCACGTGGGGGGCTCCACTAGCCGGATACTGGGGAGGGTGTCAAGATTTACCCTCTTCGTGTTTCTCTTCCGGAGAAGGATCTGCTCGCTGTGATCTTCAAAGACCTCGGGGGCTACGGGAGGTTAGGAGGAGGTTAAGGGTAGGCTCGAGGTCAGTCGTTACCTCTTAGTTGGATGGGCAGCCGAGGTTAGGGAGGTTTCACATGAATCGTTGCCACTATTGGTCCTCCCTGTTTTGGCTATCCTTCTCGCACCCTCCGGTGTTCGTTGCTCATGGAAGGGTTCAGTTTCGGGGTCTTTAAGGGTAGATAAGTATTCCTGGCATGTGTTACTTCCAAGTTAAGCGTGTCTTGAGTTGGCATCTAGCTACCAAAATTCGAAAAGGGAGCCCCACAGCCCGATTGGAAAATGGTTGCTTGGGGACCGGGATAGCGAAATCTGTTCCATAATTGGATCGTATTGTCTCCACTTACCTCGCTCGGTTGGTTCTGATTAGTCGAACATTGAGGTTGGTCTTAACTATGGGTCTCTCGCCTAACCCCGGGGAGGTTGCTCGTCGAGAGCAATAAGCGAAGAAAAAGTCTCAAGAGGTTAAAGAGAAGGAAAGGAAAGAGAGAGAGGGAGAGAGGGAGCGAGAAAGAGTAAGGGAGTGAGAGGGGGAGAGAGAGAGAGGGGAAGAGAGCGATTAAGAGGGAGGAGGAGAAGAGAGGGGGAAAGAGAGGGAGAGAGAGAGAGGGGGAAAGGAGAGAATTAGTAGGTTGAAGGGGAATTGTAATAGCGAAGGAGTGAGAGAGGTAGCGAGGAAAAGAGAGGGAGGGAGAGGAGGAGAGAGAAGAGAGAGCAAAAGGGGAAGAGTGAGTGAGCGAGGGTAATAATAAAAGGAGTGTTGATCTTCCGAGCTCCCTGGGCCCCCACCTCTCGCCACACCTTCGCAGGAATAAAAGCCTGCGCTCCTTCGTTAAGCGTTACCCCCTGTTGTAAATTTTGCGGGTACACAGAACCTCTGGTTACGGTGAGCCATTAAGAAGTTGCTCCTGCATTGTTGTACTAGAACACATAACATTTTTTGTTAAGCCATTGTATTGAGTTAGAGATTCTTTTTACTTGAATTAATTCTTGGATTCTTTATTGCTGAATTTTTTTTGTACGTAGGGAGTCGCTCGAGGGGAGACAGAGGAGTAGGGAAGAAGGGAATGGAGGAATTTGGGGGAATTTGAAAGGTAAAGTGGACGGAAGAGGACGCCAACCGTTCATCTCCTTCTGGGGTTTGGCAGGTCCAATTGTAGAACCAGCAAATTCAGGCGTACATTAGGAGTTTTTCGCCACCTCCTGGTCTCCCTCCTCTCCAGACGGTTCTTACTACCTTCCTATGCTGCTCTCAAGGTTTGGTATACCCCTGGATTGGTATGCTCTTCTGTGAGTTCATGCACAGCTACGGTCATGGCGGGTCCTACACATAGGTCCGGTAGGGTTGGTGGGGAAAGGGTAGAAGGAGTTGTAAGTAGGGTAGTAGGAATCAAGTAATTAAAGAAGGATGGCAGAGATGGACACTGATGCGCAGGCAAGAGCACACCAACCCCCCCCCTCCCTTCCCATAAATTTTTGGGCAATGGAGGACCAGACGAGGTAGTCAATAGGGCAAAGCTACGATGAAGGGATTATGTAGATAAACCCAAACTTCGGTCAGGTCATTACTGATGAGAAAGGAAGGAGGTTCAAGGTAAACGAATCGTTGGACGCCATCAAGGAAAGATGGTTGAAGGAGAGAACGGTCATCGTGGTGTTCCAAGAGGAGGCCCGTAATTTAATGAGAGGAGTTAAAGAAGACCTCATAAGAGCCTATGAGGATGGGTGGTTGGCGAGGAGGCTATTTAATCCGGAGGTACAACGGGGCAGGGTCACGTTTGACGGGGTGAATGTTGTTTCATATGTAGCAAAGGCGCCGGAGGTGGCTGCGTGGATGGTTCAGATGGCATCAACAAAGCTGAACCTAAGGGGCGTGAACTATCCGGTGGTTTTCAAACCATGGATGACGAAGATAGACCTGAAGGATCTCAGGTTGAAGGAGGCAGAGACTAACTTCTGGATAGTGGCTTTGAGAGTTCCTTTCGAGGTTTTCTATTACCTGGCTTCTGCAATGGAAGGACTAGTTGGCGGAGTAAAGCATATGCACCCGCCAGAGGTTGACCGCTCACGTCCAAAGCTGGTGAATGTGAAGTTTGATATGGAGTCACAGGCAAGGTACCGAGTGGAGGACACGTTGGCGGTAGAATCCCCGAAAGGGAAGATCTGGAGGATGGAGGTGGCCACTCCCAACACCGACTGGTGCCGTCGGTGCCGCTGGTATTTTCACACAGAGGACCGCTGCCCCAAAGCACTACAGTCAGACCGTCCACCGAGACAGTGGTCGAACTCATGGTTACCTCGTCAGAATGGACCAGGCCAGGCACAGGAGGCCGGGGGGGCCCAGGGTGTACCAGGGACAGGGACCGAGACCACCGCCATGAAGGGCACCTGCCCCAAATAATGCAAGGTCACATCAAGTTGCTGGCATAACAACACTAGGTTCTCAAGGGAGACAGGCCAGTGGGGACAAACAGCAGGGGAACCAACCTCCAGTGCAGCCAGGTCCCCCCCCACCGGCACAGGGGAGCTTCGAGGGAAGAGGAGGAAGAGTTGAATACGGAGCTCAAGCCCCTGCACATATGGCTCAACAGGGAGTATCCCCCGGAAGTCATCATCCCACCTGTCCGCCTCCGATGCCATGCTGCGCACACACACAGCCTGCGAACCGCGACAATCCTCATTACTTGCAGATGTATGCAAGGGCGGTCGGCCCGTTGGGGCCTCCATCCTCCCATGGGGGGGGGCAGTGGGACACAGAGCTGCAGACATTCCATGTGTAATTATCGATACAACAAAGAGCCTTGCAGACTTCACAGCACTTTGGGGCCCATTCTCTGTCTCATACATGTCCCCCGGGAGTTTCAGACCCGGGCTACATAGAGCAGAGGCTCCACGACCATCCAATGGGAATCACGCCCCCACCTGGGGCGGACTCATATTGGCAGGATATTCAAGGGGAGGGGGCTCGTTGCTACAAGCATCAGGGAGCAGAGCAAGAAGGGCCACATAGGTCAGAAAGAGGGGCCTGGAGTAACCCGGGACAAAGGTTAGGCCAAGAAGGGTTCAGCTCACAAAGGAATAGAGGAGAGTCTCAGGGAACTCTGGTCCGGAGAAGTTGGCTAAGAGTAGAAGGGGCAAGAAGAGAGCAGAGTTGGTTATCGTCAGGGGGGGATCAGAGAAGAGGGCCTACTGCCCTTTCAGTCCCGTCGGAATCAAGAGTGGTGGTGGGAAGCGAGATCTTGGGGGATGAGCTACTGGGGTCTAGGGAAGGAGAATTAGAGCGGGAGCACTCAGAATCCTCCACGGGCAGTTCAGGAGCTGCGCACAGAAGACGGGACCCGCCATCGGATACATAGAGTAAATTGGAGTATAGAGAAAACCGTGAAGGTGGGTCACCAAGTCTGAGACACCAAGACAGAGACAGAGTGGAGAGGAGAATGATGCCGTTGGTGTGCACGGGTACGGAAGACGGCGTTTTCTTCCTGGGGATGACCGACACGCAGGGCCGTCCTTACTTACCTTCGGAAGTAACAAGGAGAACACCATTGCCGGTGGAAATTCTTTCTCTCACCAAGAACCTGTATGGTGGCGACTTTCCAGTTAGATTGATCCCAAGATCCACGATGACGAGCATTATTGTTCTATTAGAGGGCCGGATCTACAAATTGTATTTTTCTCTCCTCGATGCCAGAATCAGTGCAGCATCAGCGAGATCCTTGTCACAGGGGGGCGTCCAGTGGTTCAAGCTGGATGCTGTTAGAGAGCAAAACTCGCAAGAACTGGAGATAATCTGAATCATGGTTAATGTCTCAGCGCTAGCTCTCCTTCATATGAATGAGAAACTGGCGGAAGGGGAGAACCTCCACTCACCGTTTATCCACGATTCCCTGTTTGCCCCATGGAGGTCGTCCACGAGGTCAATAGGCTCAGAGGAGCTGTCGAGAGATACTCCTATGGTCTGCACCCCCTCAGAGGAGCACCCTCGCTGGGGGGATGATCCTGTCAGCTCTGCAAACCGCATCCAAGTTTAAGAAGCGGTGTTCTCGTCCAATGGTCAGACTTAAATTAACTACCTGGAATGTGAGGGGAATGGGCAGTCCGCTGGAGAGAGGGAAAAGGAGGAGGATCAAGGCCTGGATGTTTGAGGAAAAATTAGATGGCCTATTCATTCAGGAGTCCAAATTGGACGAGGCAAAGCTGCAGAGATTCGCGCAGTGGTGGGAGGGACCGCAAGTGTGGTCGCGAGCACAAGGATCAAAAGGGGGGGTAGGGATAATCCTGCGTAGAGAGCTGCAACCTCAGGTGATTGACTCGGAAGCGGACTTGTGGGGGAGGTGGGCGTGGTTTCGGCTCCTGGTGGGTCAGGAAGATTGGCTACTCATGACGGTGTACGTGTCCTCGGTCCTGGGCCCCATAGTGGAATTCTTACAAAATTTTGCAAGTAAGGTACCAAAGGTGGCCCATAGGATAGTGGCGGGATGCTGGAACGTTTCCCTAAATGAGGCAATGATCCAGGGAACACGCACTGCAGGAAGAAGGGATGCAATTGTACTTCTGGAGGCGATGCACTCGCTAGACCTCACGGACCTTTTTTGTCTGCTAAACCCAGATGAGGTTGGGTACACCTGGTACTCAAACCCGAGAAGAGATAGGAGGGAAGGGACAAGACGTCGGCTTGATTACTTCTTGGTGTCAGTATGGTTGCAGCAACGATTTATGGCAATAAAGCAGCGGCTTTATCCGCTTTCTGATCATAAACCGGTGTCTGCTGACATACTAACAGGGGCCTTGGGAGAGAGGGGGAAAGGGTTCTTCAGACTGAACTCACAGAATCTGGAGGACCCAGGGCTAAAAGTTTGGGTGCGGGACAACATGGAGACCTGGAACTCAGCGAAAGATCAGTTTCAGACCACGGCAGACTGGCTGGACGGAGGGCTAGCTAGAGTCTCAGGAATGATGAGTGTGTGCTCCCGTATTCTAGCCAGAGACAGAAATAGAGAGGAGGACCAGTGCAGGAAGGCAGTGGAAGAGGCTGAGAGGAAAATGATGCAACACCCTATCTCGGAACGGACGTGGGCGGCGGAGAGAGCAAGACGGCTGGGAGAGTGGGAAAAGATACAGGCTGCAAAACACGGGCGATGGGAAGAAACTCTGAAAATCAAGGGGATTGTGGTACACGACAAGCTAACAAAAAAAACCTTTCGTCGGTTGCTGCCTAGTGCAGCACATCAGCAGGTGGTTCAGCTCAATCACCCATTCGACCCAGCAGCAGCTCCGGCAGCTGCACCTGCAGAGATGCTGGAGTACGCTAGGCTGTACTATGCGGATATTTTGACTGCAAGAAGGTTAGCAGACTCTCCTCTCTCGGACCTCTCACAAGGCAGTGACATGTGGCAGCAGACAGAAGTGCTTTTGACACCTCAAGAAAGATTGAGCTTGGACAGGCCGATTACGTTGGAGGAGTTGGCGCAGACACTAAGGGTAATGGCAACAGGCAAGGCACCGGGGAGGAATGGGTTGTCCGTGGAGTTTTTTCGATGTTGTTGGGATGCGTTGGGCCCTCCACTAGTGGAAGTGTACAACAAGGTACTAGTGGGAGAATGTCTGGGTGCGGCGATGACACATGGGGTCATTGCACTAATGTTCAAGAAGGGAGATAAGACGAATGTGAGGAACTATCGCCCGATTTTCCTCTTGAACGTAGACTATAAGATCCTAGCAAAAACGATGGCGTTAAGGCTAGGGAAAATCCTCCCCAGACTGGTAGAACGTGACCAAGGGGCCTTCGTGCAAGGAAGGTCGATCTTCCATAATATCCTCACGACAATTGAGTCAGTGGAGGTCTTGAAGGGGGAGCACAGGGATATGGCAGTGCTAATGCTGGATCTAGAGAAGGCATATGATAGAGTGGGCTGGTCATTTGTCCTAACTACGCTGAGAAGGATGGGTTTTGGGGATGGGTTCTGCAGATGGGTTTTAGCAATGTACACGGCGGCTTCGTTTGCGGTCCAAGTCAATGGCCACCTCTCGAGGTCCTTTCAACTGACACGCTCGCTACGGCAAGGTTGTCTGTTGGCACCTCTCCTCTTTGTATTGCAGCTGGAGGTCCCGCTGAACTGCATCAGGAAGCACCAGCTCATCAAAGGCCTCCCCTTGGCAGAGGGCAGGGAATGCAGGGCGAAAGCCTTAGCAGACAATCTCTTCTTGGTGCCAGAGAACTCAGTGGCTTCGCTGGGGGCAATCAAAGCGGTCTTAGAGGAGTACTCACTCCTCTCCGAGGCACATGTTAACTGGAATAAGTCAACGTTTATTCTCCCGGAGGGTTTCTCCTTAGTAGTGGAATGGGGAATGCACAGGGTTGTGTCGACAAAGGGGGAGTGCTTCTTGGGGGTGCTGATTAGCCTAGAGCTGATGTCTGGTGCCCAAGGTGCAGTTATCCAATAGCGGATCGCGGCAAAATTGAGGGTGTGGGGCTCCGCTTGGCACCTGTCGTTGTTCGACAGGGCGCTGGTCATCAACTCAGCCCTCCTTTCGCTGCTGTGGTTCGTGGCACAAGTGAGGGAATTCTCGGGCCCAGTGCTCGCGGAAATCAGGCCCTTGATCACAAGGTTTCTCTGGAAATCGCGAGCAGGAGGGGACGACAACTTCATTGTCAAGGTGGCGTGGGACTTAATTACGCAGGAAAAGGACCAGGGGGGGTTGGGATTGGCAGACCCTCTTGGTAGGAACCAAGTTTTTCTTCGTTCATGGGTGGCAAAAGTATCAAGGGCGGAACAGAAGGAGGATTGGATTCTACTGGGAGAGCGCATACTAATGCAAGAATAGCAGCTGACCAGGCAAGCTGATGTTTGGGTCTGCTTCTTCATCAAGTCTTTCGTTAGACGCAGACTGCACTCAAAATTCTGGGAAGGGGTGCGCAGAGCATGGGTGGCCCACCCTCCGAATGCAAGAACTCCCCCGTGCTCGAGGGAGGAAGTTCTGAGGCAGTGCTTATTTGAGAACCCGTCCGTTACTGACAGAGAGGGAGAGGAGTTCGTAGCAAATGCATCTGCCGGCTCGTTTGGGAAAGCGTGGGTTCAGCGGGGAGTGTGCACGATTCTGGACCTGTGGAACCCCCTAACGGGAACATGGAGGGCAAGGGAGGAACTGAATGAAAAGCTGCAGGGTCTGAGAAACGTAGAACCTCACCTTTCAGCACTGAAACAGGCTATTCCCCAAGAGTGGACGACCCTCCTGGGCCCGGAGGGACAAGACCCACCGGGCACATGGTATGCACCAGTGGTCCCATCAAACCCCCCTACTGTCTGGGAGAGGGTTTAGGAAGGTGAGGGTGTGGACGGTCTCCCCCACGGACGGGAGCATGAGGGAAGGGCAAGAACTAACGGTCCAGATCTGGGACAATCCCCCACAAATACGTGTGGTACATCAGAGGGATGGGAGAGGAGCTGTATGTAGCACAGTCTGGGTGGGATAGACGACACTGCGTAGTCTCTCAAAAGACCCAGTGGCGTGGAGTTGGTCAGAGGGGAAAAACAGAAGGGCGCATCCGCAAGGTCTAAACTTGGCCAATTATTCAGCAGGGGAATCGTACTTGATCGCCAAGAAGCCACTGAGGTCCCCGGCAGCGGTGGCGATAGCCAGGTGGAGTGCTGTCCTGCCCACTGGACCTACAAGAGGAGACAGAGAACTTCAGGAAATTGTGGAAGGTGTTGTTGGATCTCCCGAATGTGAAACACGCAAGCATCTTATGGATGCTCTCATTGCTGGTGACACCGTCTACAGTTTGGCTCAGAGCGCGAGGAGTGGAGGTGGAGCTGGGCTGTACACGATGCAGATGGCCCTTTGAGTCCACCCGACACCTATGGTGGGACTGTCCGGCTTCTAAGCGGATCTGGCGTTGGTGGGCCGCACACTGGCAACTGATGGGGGGAGAAGGGATAATTTGGGAGGAGAAGTGGGTCCTATTGGGATTCACCAGTGAGGACTGCACCGGGCTTAGAGGCTAGCCCTATGTAGCACAGGTGGCCAGGGCGGTGATCTGCGCAGTAATCTGGGCAGATCGCAACCGTTCAAGGTTCGAAAGGCGCCCCTTTTCAGACAAGGAGTTGAAGGCTGCAATAAAGAAAGGGTTGAGACAGGCGATAGCAGTGGATTGGCGAAGGAAGGCAAGGGAGGGGAAAGCCTGTCGAAGTGCACTTTGGTGGTTCCTGAAGACCTGGGCTATTCGGAACCAGCTGGCAGGTTACCATCGCACTGAGGGCTAGTCTTCTCTAATTGGCTGTTAGAGGGAGGCTAAGCAGAGTAGGTACGAACCAGGGCATCTCGGTTCGAGGGCCAGACCGCAGGAGGTCAGATAGGGGAGGCGGGTGGTAGAGTGCCTTGGTGACCAGGAACTGTGTTCCAATCGGTCGATTTAGACCGGTGTCAGGCCGTATAGGCCTGTGTAACTAGAGTTGGATAGTCTGTAGAGAGTTTGGGACAATTGTTTGAACAATTCATGTGAGAAAGAAGAAATAAGAGGGAACTGGTGAATTTGCAGCAAATGGTTAATGACTCTGAGTGGACTTAGTCATTAGGGGCCTCGCCGCATGGCGCAAGAAACGAAAAAAAAAACGACTTCGTTTCGTGAAGTCGTCGCCCCATAGCACCCACACGAACTGTGTCAGAAAAAACTCGTGAATGCTGTCAGCCTCGAAGTTCGCGAGGCCTCACGAGTGTGCCGACTCCTCCCTGCCTGCAGCCCTCGCGAACTCGTAGGTCCTCCGCTGGTAGGCTGGAGGAGCTGCGAAATCTCACGAGTGTGCTGCATAGCTCCAACCGAAGTCCATCCAAGAACTTGGACTGTAGCGTCCACAAATTTGGACGGTAGCTAAACGAATCCCGCACTACTCTCGCCAGGGCGTTGTCACGAGAGGTTTCGTGTGTGCTGTGGGGCGGTGAGGCAAAAAACGAAGCGAAACGGTAGATCAGGGCTTCGCGAGGCCTCACGACTCTGGTGGTCGTTTCGTTTCGTTAGTTGTGCCGTCCGGCGAGGCCCTAGGTAGAAGGGAAGTTTGGATGTTGATTAGCTGTGAGAAGTAGTTCATAGGAGAAGTAAGGTTTTTCTTTGGTATTTGGATAAGCTAAACCGGGGGCTAGGTCCCACTTGCACGAATTAAGAGATACTGACCGTAGATAGCAAAGATCAACGGCCGAAATCTCCTAATTTGCGCAAGTGGGACCTTGCCCCGGCTGATGCTGCCGGGATAACTCCGGGTTGAATTGTGAGGTCCCCTCCCTCCCTTGAATTGGCTGTAATATACGACTGTATAAGAAGAAAAAAAAAACAAAAAAAAACCCTACTTCAAACCGTTCGATGTGGGGTGTGTTTGAAAAAAGGTAACATAGAAAAAAAATAAAAAACCCACAAAAAGGGGAAACGGAAGAAGATCCCCAAAAAAGAAACAAAAAAACGGAAGAAGAAGTGGCCCTTGTCAGACAAGAACGAGGCAGGGGTGTTTTTTTAAAAGTTATTTTTCTGTGTTTTTTTTTTTTTTTTTTGCCGCTTTTGCTGGGGAAGGTCATATGGTGGTTGGCGGTGTCGTGGTAATAATGAATTATTATTAATTTAATTGGGAATTGTCAGAAGTGTCATGGTTGGTCGGAGTTGCGCTAACGGCCACCATCACTCCGTCGGGACATATATGAATGATGATGTCTGTTTGTGTGCGCCGCGTAAGGTAGCAAAGCTACAATGTAGCATGCATCCAGCGGGTCAACCGTCTAGTTTCACGGCAGATAAATTAGCACTATCACAGGCTTTGGGGTGCACATACAGGTCCCCCAGAGACACACACAACACACACACACACACACACACACACACACACACACAGAGAGAGAGAGAGAGAGAGAGAGAGAGAGAGAGAGTCGTGACAAATCCCTGACGGGCGAAAAAAAAAGTAAAAAGCCACTGACGGGAGTGGCTGACAGCTAACGGACGAAATAGAGATCTTCATCATTAACCCATCAGTGATTCTCAGTGCCCAGGGGCCAAGTCCCATCAGCAGCGCTGAGTTTCCCCAACGCCAGAATCTGAACATGTTTGTGGGCAATGTGCAGAAAGCCCGTTGAGTTTCCTCAAAAGCATATCTCCACAAACACGTCCAGATTCAGGCGTTGAGTAAACTCAACGCTGCTAGTGGGACTTGGCCCCAGTACTGATTTTCAAATTTTCTTCACTTTCCCCCCCCCCCCCCTTTTTTTTGKTTGWTTGTTTTCAACTCATTTTTCCGTTTTTTCTTCTTTTTTTTTTGCCAAAAAAAAAAAAAGAAAAAAAAAAAGGATGAGCACGTATAGCGGTATGGACATTCCTCGTGTTTGGTGGGGCTGTCGGCCCCCACTGCGCGCCGTACGCTCCTAGGACTCACGTAGGAGTCGAGGAAGGCTCTCCACTCTAACTCAGCATCTATGCATCCATTCCCCTCTGGCCGTATATTCAGCATCTATGCATCCACGTGTACTTGTTCTTCTATTCAGCATTTATGCATCCATCCATCTCCCCCGTCTGTCCATCCCATCTCGGCATAGTACAGTACTCTACTCTAGGCGTGACGGGCTCTGGTGAGAATTCCTAATCGCGAAAAAAAAACAAAAAAAAAACCGAATTCCTTATCGGTCTGCGGCTGTCCAAGGTGCGGCCGTCTAGATTAGGCAATGTACGACAAAAGTTTGTCGTTAGTAGACAGAAGACGTTCAAGTCGGGATCCGCAGAGATGCACGCGCGCTTTTTACGGCCGGAGAGTTTATCCATCTCGAGAAGAGACAAAAGTTCGATTCTCTCTGTGTGTGTGTGTGCAGCTACATACTACATACTACATACTACTACATACTACATACACTGTGAGTGTGAGCCTGCGGGAGGGAATCTCGGGATCCACTTGATCCACTTTCCACTTGCGACATCATCAACTCTCCGGCGGAACTCTCGGAAATCGGCAGCAACACTCTTCCACCAGCGAGGTTCTCTCTCTCTCGCTCTCTCTCTCTCTCTCTCTCTCTCTCTCTCTCTCTCTCTCTCTCTCTCTCTGTGTTTCTCTCTCTCTGTGGCTGTCTCTTTGTGTGTGTGTGTCCCTCTCTTTGACTCTTTGTGCGTGTGTGTGTGTGTGTGTGTGTGTGTGTGTGTGTGTGTGTTTCTCTGTCTCTCTGGGTCTGTCTCTCTCTGTCTCTGCCTCTCTCTCTCTCTCTCTCTCTCTCTCTCTCTCTCTCTCTCTCTCTCTCT